TTTAATTAAATATAAAAAAACAATGGAAGAGAAAAAGAAAGGAGATTAAGAAGATATAACCCTAAAATTATATGAATATAATGCAGTTATAAACATCATATAATTAATCTAGCAGTATTTGAATGGAAGAGTAAGAGGTGGGACAGATAAGGGAGGAGAAGAAAAAAGAAGAAAAAGAAGAAGAAGAAGGAAGGAATGAAGAAATGATCAGGTTAGAGTGTTCTGGATATATATAGACTATTTTACCAATGAGTAATATGTCAGAAATAATTTTACTGACAAAACCCACATAGGCAATTAACCTAAAAGCGAGAATCCAAAAAAAACAAAAAATTTGCATTCCCGCCGAAATTCACCGTTGACCTGTGTGTGGTACATCGGAAATAATTTTACCGACAAAACCCACATAGGTAATTAACCTAAAAGCGAGAATCCAAAAAAAAACAAAAAATTTGCATTCCTGTCTAAACTCACTGACCAGTTTCAACGGAGGGTCTCGGCATGCAGACGAAAATGAAAGGGGATGGGGGGTCTTGGCAGACGAAAATGAAAGGGGAAGGGGGGTCTCGGCAAACGAAAATGAAAGGGGAGGGGGGGTCTCGACAGACGAAAATGAACTGGGAAAGGGGGGTCTCGGTAGGCAAGGGGGAAGCTTACCAACGGGTTCTCGTTGGAAACCCATAAAGCTCACCGACAGGTTCCCGTTGGAAACCTATAAAGCTCACCGACGGGTTCTTGTTGGAAACCCGTAGAGCTAATCAACTCTGCATTGCTTCAAGAATCTGATTGACCAGGATCATCACCGACAAACTCGACGTTGGTGTGTAATGCAAATTACCGATGTGAATATTGTTGGAATTTATGAAAAAACTGACGCGAGCAGCCAATTCACTGTGCGGGGTTGAATTGTGAACTTACCGACAAGGATCACGTCGGTATATGAGTTACCGGTCCTCACGCCACCGGACTGCCTTTTTCAGAATTTTACCGACAAAGAGCACATGTGTATATCATTAAATCACCGATAAAGATTTTATTTGAAACTTAAATAATATAAATTACTGTAATTTTTACTGTTACTACATTTGCAGATATGTTTCTTGTCGGTAAAGTGCTCATTTACCGATAACAAGTTTTACGTCGGTGATTTGGGGTCGGTGATTTTGGGTTTTCTTGTAGTGAGAGCTTAAATACTATTTTGGGACAAGTTTGAGGGCTTAATAAATAGGTTTTGCCTTTTTTTTTTTTTTTTACAAGGTAATGGTTAGGAAGTTACTAGAATTAATTTGTTAGCAACTGGGATTTCTCAGAATGGTGAACATTCCACCTCCTCATATGAGACACGTGACCATTAAGTCTCAAGTTGATGAAGTTCCCGGTAGTAGCAGAATTTGAAATTTTGACTTCCGCTTCACCCAAACTCTAAGGTTTGGGGACCAATTATTGTACCTCAGCCCGGTTGGTAATAGGTTTTGCCTTTTAGTACATCATTATCCGCTTAATTGCAGTCTTTTAAATGATTTATGACATCATTTATTTATTTTAGATTTT